TTTATGTTTGGTTTGCCCTTAATAAATTATATTGTTTTACACGCTATGCCTGGAGTCTGTGTTTCCCTGTGTCGGTCCACACACCTCTGGTCATACCCGGAGCCCTGACACATTTGTTGTTTTTCAACCAGGGTGCCTTCTGGGTTCTTCAAGGGTGCTTTGGTAAAATCCCCAAAAATTGCCCCAAAAAAATTGTCAACAATCAAGCAAGTGCAGCATTACAACCTTGGGCACTTATGTAATTTATTGATAAGGAGGACATCAGGCACCTCCATCTTTGTTTGCCCCTGTCCATCAGCACTGAGATCAGTGAGGGAGAAAAGGAATGGTGGAATACTAGTCAGTGCCAGTATACAAAGGTGTATTAGCTTTGTTAGAATAATTAAACTCCAATGTTGGGTGCCCTACACTACATATGTGCATGTCGCAGCGTTATGTAAAACTTTTAAATTAAGTCTTTACATTTTAGAATGGGGTCCTTGGGAATGTGCAGGATATTAAAGGGTGCCTTGACCCAAATGCCGCACACACGACGAAGCAGCCTCAGCCTGACTTTGTCCATGCCACACCCTCAATTTGCCCAACTCATGGGGCTTAGTCATGGAGCACCTTCAGTTAGAGTCACCAGATGCAGACATACATGATCCTGGAGCAGCACCCCCAGCTCTTTTGCTGTGGATGCCATAAGCTTTTCGTGAATTTATCCACATTGTGTTCACTCTTTCCACTAATCAGCTGTCATAGAACCAAAGTGCTAGGTGTTGAAAGGTCTGGAGAAAAAGGCTGGCCAATCCCAAAGAAACCAACGTTTCACAGGCAGCCCCACCTATCTCCCTTTGAGTGATTGTGGTGCTCATCTCCAATTTTATTTGCAAACCCTGAGCAGCTGGCAAGAGGCAGTGGAACTAAACTGTATCATCACAAACTGAAAACACTAATTATTTCATTTTTACTATTTAAAGCAAACTCACCCATCCATCCATGTCTTCATGTGTTATTTTATTGAGAGATTGCTTTGAAAAACACCCCCAAATCTTTTCTAGCCATCTTGAATAAGGGCAGATGATTCATGCAGCATTTACTTTCTGGAATCCATCTACTCTTAGCTCAGGCATGCAGGCAGGAGGGTACGCTTGGCTGAGAAAACACCTCCTCCCCTTTGAAGAAAAAAGAAATGCCCATGAAGACTCCTGGGATGTGTTGGTCTAGACCAGAAACCAGGAAGTAACTTAAAAAAATAAAAACTTTAAACAAGTAAATATATATAAAATAACTTCCTATCTATTTACTAATGGCAGCAGCATAAGGATTAAATGTGGATTGAATGCAGGGGTGGCCATTTGGAAACTCGGGCACTGCCTGAGGGCCCGGGGTCAGTAGGGGGCCCCATGAGATGCCCCTGGTACTTTTTTCATAGGCTTTTTTGAGTTTGGGCAAGGACACAGGGGCCCCATGATCCCCTATTGCCTGGGGGCCCCATGAGTTGTCAGTTCGCCCCTGATTGAAAGTTTAGTTTAGTTCTGCTTTAAGTCAATGAGTGCCACTTGCAATATTGATATGTGCCACAAATTCTGCTGGGATGTGTAGTCTGGCACATGAGAATAGCATCACAGTAGGTGACCCTCTGGCACCTACTATGGAGAAAGAGAAAAAGATATCAAGCAGTCACATGAGCACTTCCTGAAGCTTTCCAAAAAGGTATTTAGGGGCTAAAAATCTGCAAATCAAGAGCCACATGAGATACGGTTCTGCTTGCGCTGCACAATCCGATATTATTTAGTCAGGCTTGCCATCTGCTTAAAGGCTAAAGAATACCAGTCTTCAAGAGTGCCTCAATTATGTCCTCGGTTCCAAATGAATGAATATTCTTTATAATAATAAAGTCTTTTTCCTTGAGCGACTGTCGAAGAAGGCTTCACTTTTAAGTAGAGGAATGGCTAGACAAAATAGAACCTCAACTTTTCTTTCATACTTTAAATTTGTTGAATTAGTGTGTGCGCTTTAATTGAAAAATCTACCGTGTATTCAAATATTTAATTTTTTTTTCTTTTTTTTAATATGGTCATCAGAGTACTTAAGACTTAACTTCAGGAAACTTTAAAAATTTCCTTTGCAAAATCATATACTCAAAAAATTATACTCACTGTGGAACTTAAGGGGTTATTCGTCCGCATTGTGTAAAAAGGATGTTTCATCCTGTCCAGGCTGATCCTCCTCTTCTACTGTCCCCAACTCATCTCCTGCTAGAACAGAGCCTTGGGAGCAAGTTGCACATGCTCAATTTGGTGTGTATTGCTAGAAAGTTTTATTTTTCCTTGGGAGAGTGCATGTGATCAGCACAGGGGCAACCAGCACTGTCCAGACACAGGGGACAGGGGTTCTGCAGTCTCATAGGACAGTGAGAGGTGAATGAAAACTCCTCCTCTGGATGCTGGACGCTGATAGAAGTTACAAGACTGCTCTAACTGCTGATGAGAAAAGGTATTTAGCAGTTTATATTTACACAGAACATGGAAATGGAATTATTTTAATACTGTTGGAGACCAGATATAATGAATGCAGAGTCCTGGGTTTAGTAACACTTTGGGGTTTATTTACTAAAGCTGGAGAGTCCAAAATCAGACTCCCTTCTGCATAGAAACCAATCAGCTTCCAGGTTTCATTGCCAAAGCTTCATTGAACAAGCTGAAGTTAGAAGCTGACTGGTTTCTATGCAGAAGGGAGTCTGATTTTGGACTCTCCAGCTTTAGTAAATAAACCCCTTTATGTCTAGGGGAAATTAGAAGAACCTTTACTTAGCTTTCTCATTCTGTGAAGGATCAGGTAAGTAAAAATTTACTTTGCAAAGAACATTCAATCATGTGCAAGCAAAAAAAAAAAACAAGAACAGAATTAAATTTATGGACCAAATATGTAAATAGATACGATAAATGTCACTTCAATGTTTAAAGTACAAACATTTACAATTTTTAAATTTTACTAAGCTACTAAGAGAATGGATTCAAAGTGGAAATTGACTTGGGCACAAAGCAAATTAATAAAAATATGAAACGGCAAGTAAGTAAAAAAAAAGTTGACACATAAAAACAAAAGCACAGTTGTTCTTGTTATAGTTTACTTTTAATAATCAATATGCCCCAATTTCATCCTATAGAAGAATCCTCAACTGATGCTCCCATCTAACAAATTACTAAGTGAAATCTCCCTACATGATATCATGTTTGAAATATTTGATGCTTTCATCCAATTAATGATGAAAATGATTGTTAGAGCAGAAAGAAAGCTTACTTACACCTCAAGGGGTTAAGAATTGAATCACTATATAATTGACTGGTTCAACTTGTGATAGACTTTGATGTTCTCATTTTTTCCCCCCCTCTAAGAACTTGATTGACATTTCTCATGTGTTCCGAATTCCTTCGGCAATGGTTGGTAATGACGAACATTAACCCAAAGCGTTATCTAGCCACCCCACCTTAAAACTTCATTGACATGTTTCAACTATTTACTTTTTTTGGATGCAAACAAGTGCCGGCAAGTAAATTAAAAAAAAAAAAAAAAAAAAAAAAAAATATACAAAGACTTCAAAACCATTAGTTAGAGTCTACAGGGATGTTTGAAGAGACAGATTCAAATTATTTTAAGGCTTTTACATGCTGTTGTTGTGAGTGCTTTAAATTAAAATGTCGCCTTCAAGATTGCAATTGAAATGCACCAGAGCATCAAAGAGACAGATAGAAAAATGGACTAAGCACCTATAATGGCCATTCTGTTCAATGTTGAGTGTTTGTTATCTGGCCATTGTGTCAGAGTACGTTATCTGCTTTGGCAGGGATGAAAAAAAACAGGTGCCCCACCATAGCCTCCACATCTTCAGCCATTTATTTGTCGTCGCTGTTTACTCGCCGCTAACGGCGCATAAAGCAATCACCGCTGCCTTGTATTCTCAGCAGGTGACTAACAATTACATTCGGTAACAGGTTCTGCCGAAGGAAACAGATTTAAAATCAATGTTCATTTGCCATTTATATACAAATTGTCTAATGTAATCAAAATGGTGATCACTATTCACACATGCGTTAACAGTCTCGTATCACACCGCGGTTAACACCAATATGTGAGAGGAATGGCGTACGTCAAAAATGAGGTCAGGGTTTTCCTGTCGCTGGTTCCAGTGGAATTTGGATTTGCTTTTCTCATTGTTAAAATTTATTGCAAATATCAAGAGCATTAGCAAGCTTACAATATATTCACCCTTTCCTGTTTTAAATGTTGGCTGGGAAGATTGCAAGACAAGACAAGTTAAATAAAAACATATCCTAAAAGTGGAGGGATATTGGACCAATGGACTTTAAAGCAGAACTCAAGGCAAAAACGTCTTTACATGTTCTTTCTGTTTTGTAAGACCAGTTGTTCCTATGTTTCCTATTCCCCCAGCCACTGGTCTTGGCACATCCCTTCTGTAGTTCTTTCTCCAGAAAGCAGTAATGTAATTTAGCCCCACTTGCAGTGGTGGGCAGACCATGACTCTCAGACCCATTCAACATGTGCAGGTCTAGTGTACCCGCCCACATTCACTCCAATTCCCTGTGGTTGATGGGAACTGTAGTTTCCTGTTATTGCAGAGAGAGCGGATATAATGTAATCCCTGCTGTTTCCTCCTTGGCAGAGCAGATGCTATTATCTTTTGAATTACAGAGATGAGTTCATGAACATTGAATTAGACCTTTCTCCTAAATGGTAAAGATTTTCAAAATGTTATTAACTGTTTAGTGTTTTGTGTAGGGGGGTGTACTAATGTGTGATTTTTTTACCTATCCCAAAGTTCTTCTTTAAATGTGTCTCCCAGGGATGTCCACAGTACATATAATAAACAACAAGTACATACAATGCAAAATTTCCTTTTTTTATGTATACATGTTAACAGCTTTCTCACTGCCCTATAGCAGAAATACTGCCACAGGGCAGCAGGGGCACGCAAATTCATGTATATATACACGTGATTTTGCATTTCCGGGTAGGGGGCGAGCTCGAGCTGCTCGTGCGCCCTATCCGCGTAGCTGTTTGCGGCCTCGGCACCCGGTGATCGCCGACTATTACCGTCAGGGGGAGAGAATGTATGTAAACAATACAGGTCTCTCCCCTGTCAGCTCCAGCACACTGCTTTGTATGGCTCTGCATAGCAGAACCATACAAAGCAGTGTGCTTATAGTTGAAAGCACAGACACAGCTTACTGTGAAACAGCACACAGTTAACCCATTTGATCGCCCCACATGTTAACCCCTTCCTGCCCAGTGCCATTAGTACAGTGTCAATGCTTTTTATTAGCACTGATCACTGTATTGGCGTCACTGAGGATATCAGTGACACCAAGCCAGTTCCCCCAAGTGTCAGAATGCCCGCCGCAGTCCCGCTATAAGTTGCTGATCTAATAAAAAAAAAAAATTCCAGTATCTGTAACGCCATTTGTAAACTTTCACGTAACCCAATTAATTTGTAAATTAAAGTAATGTATTGGGAATTTTTTTAGCAAAGACATGTAGCACAATACATTTTGGCCTAAATTTATGACGAAATTTGATTTTTTAAGTTTTTTACTGGACATGTTTAATAGCAAAAAAGTAAAAAATATTATTTTTTTCTCAAAATGATCGTTTTTTTTTTGTTTATAGTGCAAAAAAAAAAAATGCACAGGCGATCAAATAGCACCAAAAGAAAGCTCTATGTGTGGGGAAAAAGAATGTAAATTTAATTTGCGTGCAGCGTTGCATGACCGCCGTATCACAAAAAATGGCCTGGTCAGGAAGGGGGGGGGGGGGTAAATCCTCTGGAGGGCAAGTGATTAAAAACATAGGAAACATTAAAACTATTTATTGCATAAAATGCCCATCTCTTCTGTAATATGCATTACAGCAATACTTCATTTTAAAGCCTTCGAACAGCACCCTATATTGACATGTTTAACGACATTGCAGGTCGCATATGAGTTGACACTATTTAAATACTGGAATGGATTGTAAAAAAAAAAAAAAAAATTGCTTACCTATACATTAGCAGCTGTTGTCATCTTCAAAGTAGTCCTCTTGTAAAACAATGCACTTTTCTAGATGACTGTGCCACTGCTGGAAACATTCCTTGAATTCGTTTTCTGGAACACTGACCAATATCTTTGTCATGGTGCTCTGGATGTCCAGGATGTCATCAAAGTTGTGTCCTTTTAAGGCATTTTTAAAAATCTGGAAACAGCCAGAAGTTCTGGGTCAGAAACTTGCAAACCATAATGCATCATGTGTAGGAGCACATGGTCAAGGTGAAGAATCCACTAGTCAGGCCAGAATTTCGGTCAATCTTCTCCTCCGAACAGATTCCCTTAACCGTGTCAGAATTTCCAAGCAACAATATAGACTGACCATTCTTGTGTCATCATGGACATCTCCCCTCCCCCCCTTAAATCATCTATGTCATTCAAAAACACTTGATTTCTTCAAGGAATGTTCACCATAAGCCTGTTGTAACAGAGCTAAAGTTTCACTCACACTTTTGCCAATTTTCACCCAAAATTTTACATTAATCCGCTGCTCCAGTTCCTGTCACTTATTTTCCACCAACAGCACCAAGCACCCACGTGTTATTTCTTCTACTACTCCATAAAGACTGGGTCAACTGGTCTGCGACTCAGGCGAGTGCACGTTAGAACATATCAGAACACGCTGGAGTGCAAATGGCTGTGTGACTCCCCACCATAGAGCTATGCAGCAGGCATTCTGGGAATTATTGTCACACCTTGTATAAATTCATTTTCATGGTACCACTGTTTGTAGGATTGTAGTCACCCTCTACTGTTTGCTCCCGAGATGGACTATGGGATTTGTAGTGTTCATACACAGTGAGTTGCACCCCAATGTATAAATCTAAATGGGTCATCGTGGGCTTAATTTTACATTCTACGACTGAGTGGGTTAAATGTGTTAGGGAGGGGAAACTGAAGCCTATTTGACATACTGGGCTGCTTCTACATTTTTTTTCTTTTATAGTTGGCTATTGGACGACATGGTCCCTTGTGAAGTCAGCACCCGGCAGAGTTTAGAATCACTGGGTTGAACATTGGGGTCTTCAAGCTGTGCTTTCTGTTTGATTAGGTCTCAAATGTGTAATGCACTCACATTTGAGCAAAGATGGGAGTGCCAATACAAGTCAGTATTCATCTAGGCATGGGAGCGCTTGTACTCTCCCAGCCATAGTCTAACACCATAGACATTCTGGTGGTATACCATCCGTAACACTGGTGCCTTTTGGAGTTCATTCCAGGCTGAATACCGATTTGTATAAGCGATCTCATCATTGTCCAAATGTGAATGTATTCCACACGATGTATATTATTTAACTGTTTTTAATAAATGATTACACTGCACTTCCTTTCGTTTATGTCAGCTTTATCACAACCCAATGGTGACGTGGAAGCAGCAAAACTGTTCGGCAGTTTCAAGTTTATACTGGAACCATAGTGGCATTCATTCTGTTCTGTTTCCTCATACAGACTTTATTTATTTATTTCAGGTACTTATATAGCGCCATCAATTTATTCAGTGCTTTACATATATATATATATATATATATATATATATATATATATATATATATGTATATACTATATATATATATTGTACATTCACAACAGTCCCTAACCCTCAAGGAGTGTACAATCTAAGGTCCCTAACTCACATTCATACATACACACACTAGGGCCAATTTAGACAGGAGCCAATTGACCTAACAACATGTCTTTGGAGTGTGGGAGAAACCCAAGGCAGGCACAGGGAGAACATGCAAACTCTAGGTGGGTAGTGCCATGGTTGGGATTCAAACCAACAACCCTAATAATGCCAGGCAGAACTGCTAACCATTTAGCCACTGTGCTGTCCACTTTATGGACCTTTTGATTTTATGGTCTTGCATTAGCGCAGATCTATATATGTTTGTATGTATGTTTGTTTGTATGTTTGTTTAACCACTTCCTGCCTGTATATAATTTGTATCCACCAATTTAGTGGCAGCATAGAATATAGGTCACTCATTCCACAAGAAGGTTCTTAATCTGAAGCTCATTATTCTCACACAGTCAAATCCTGAACATAGCTATAGATAAAGCTTGTAAGCACTGACCTTAGTGCATAGAAGATTGCTCCTATACAGTATAAATGCAGGGATATATTTATTTAGCTGCTTTCCTTTCACTTCAATAGCAGCAGTACAATCTAAACAGATGTGTGATCATTAAAATAATGTGCCCATGTTTCACTGATCCTGTAATCTTACATGGACAGAGCTTGTTAGAGGTTTAAGAACTGCTCGCACCAGCCTCAAAGCAGCACTGGGTATATCATAACCCATGAAAAAAATCGGATGTTGGTTAGTTCGTGGATTGTAACATATATAAGATATATTGATGTTTCATGGTGACTCTCCACATTAACCACTTGCCCTCCAGAAGATTTTACCACCCTTACTGACCAGGCCATTTTTTGCTATTTAGTGCTTCGCTATTTCAACTGGTAATTGCACGGTCATGCAATGCTGTACCCAAACAACATTTATGTCCTTTTTTCACATAAATAGAGCTTTCTTTTGGTGTTATTTGATCACCTCTGGGTTTTTTATTTTTTGCACTATAAACAGAAAATATTTTTTTTTTTGTCTTTTTTTAATTTATGTTATAAAAAATATCCAAATAACTAAAATTTCATCATAAATTTAGGCCAAAATATATTTTGATATATGTCTTTGGTGAAAAAAAAAACCCCAATAAGTGTATATTAATTGGTTTATGTGAAAGTTATAGCTTCTACAAACTATGGTATAGGTACTGGAATTGAGGCCATTTTTTGCTATACGGCACTGCGCTAGTTTAACTGACAATTGCGTGGTCATGCAATGCTGTACATCATTGAAATTTATATTATTTTTTCCCACAAATAGAGCTTTCTTTTGGCAGCATTTGATCACCTCTGGGCTTTTTATTTTTTGTGCTATAAACAAAAACAGACTGAAAATTTAGAAAAAAAAGATATTGTCTAATTTCTGTTTAATTTAATAAATGTAAGCCAAATGTATTTTACTATAGTTCATCGTAAAAAAAAAATCCAAATAAGTGAATAATAATTGGTTTTGTGAAAGTTATAGTGTCTGCAAACTATGGTATATATATTGGAATTTACGTAGCTTTTACTTTCTGACTGGCTATCACATTTGTTGAGGTGCTAAAATGCCAGGTCAGTACAAACACCCTCAAATGACCCTTTTTTGGAAAGTAGACACCCCAGACTATTCGCTAACAGGCATGTTGAGTCAAAAGAATACTTTATTTTTCCTTATGTACTGAAATGTATTGTAATTGTACTGTCTCCCTTATATTGGAAAGCACTGCGCACTATATAAATCCTGTATAATAATAATAATAATGTCATTTTCCAATAACCTGTGGTAAAAAATGTATTTTTTTTGTTGTCACTGAAATTATATATTGCTCACACATGCCATGGATATATGTGAAATTACACCCCAAAATACATGCTGCTACTTCTACTGAGTATGGGCATACCACATGTGTGAGACTTTTTGGGTGCCTGGCCACATACAAGAGTCTATACTCCAATGACCCCTTTGAAAGCTTGATGGTGCATAAATTCTTCTTCATTTCACTTCTTCACTACCTATCACAGTTTCAGAAGCTCTGAAATTCCAGGATAAAACAATTCTTCCACAAATGACCCCTTTTTGGAAAGTAGATACCCAAAGGAATTTAATAAGAGGCATGGTGAGTATTTTGCAGATCTCATTTATTTTTCACAAGGTTTTGAAAAAGAAAAAAAGAAAAGAAAAAATACACATTTTTGTTTTCTTTCTTCATTTTCCAAAAACTTGTGACAAAAAATGAGATCTGAAAAATACTCATCATGGCTCTTATCAAATTCCTTGGGGAGTCTGCTTTCCAAAAAGGGTCATTTGTGGGGCTTTGTACTATCCTGGCATTTCAGGGCCTCCGAAACTGTGACAGATAGTCACGAAGTGTAATGAGGAAATAAAGGCCTTTAAAAGCCTAAAGGTGCTTATTGGATTTTGGGGTCCTGTATGTGGCTAGACTGCCAAAAAGTCTCTCACATGTGGTACCTCCATACTCAGGAGAAGTAGCAGAATGTATTTTGGGGAGTAATTTCATATATACCCAGGGCATGTGTGAGAAATAAATCATTTAAGTGACAACTTTGACAAAAAGAAAAATTATTTTTTTTGCACATTTTTCAAAACCTTGTGGTAAAAAATATATTTTTCTATTGCTCAACATACCTCTCAGCAAATATTTTGGGGTGTATACTTTCCAAAAATGGGTCATTTGGGGGGGGGGGGTTGTTATCTTGGC